TTACTCATAAACCATGAACTGTTCTTGAGCATTTCAATGATGTAAAATGCTAAATATTGGTATTGATTCTTCTGCATAATGACCAGATAGGGAACCACGTAAAGAAAACATATGAGACGAGGACCCGCAAACAACAACTGAAGATAAAGATTATCTTCCATAGACTTGCTCCCAGTGTCTTCCCCCTTTTTTTCCATTCCATGTCCATATCTGTGAAAGTGAGAAATTGCTGTAGTAGAGAATGATGGGATATTGGAATATGGTCTCATCAGCGATCTCCAGACTTCAAAAGTGCTCTAGAGCAGCCATGATCAAGGCAGAGCATGTTGAAGTGCCACAGATCCCTTAGAGGTCTTTTGTTATTGGATACTGGTAAATTGCATGCCTTCTGAGATGTAATGGTGTTGAAACGTCTTCATAATGACAGCAATAAGAGGACATAACTATCAATTTGTAATCTTTTATAGCCCTTCTGAGGGTATAAAAAATTGAAGTCAAATATTTATAAAACTAGAACATTTATAAATGATATAAATATTAGCACTTTGTTTTTACTCTATGCAGATAATGCTAATGTCCATGCAGCAGTAAGCTGTGGCAGGCTGCATAAATATCTACTTTCTGTTGATTTATTTATTGCCTTCACCCTTCTCGTATTCGCATCTCTACTGCATTTTTTTTGTTTTTTGGAATTTAATTTAACACTAATATGCCATTACACATGCTATGCTAATGTGCAGTTACACATTACCCATGCTAATTCGAGGATGGCACACAATGTAGAAGTAAAAGGGAAGGATGCAAAAGGGAGTGTAAAAGGGAAGTATGCAAATTCAAACCCATCATTTACCTGCAGTCTGGTTAAGTGACTTTCACTACGATGTGCAATCCACTGACTAGCTATTATGATCGCACAGTCTCTCAGCCGCTGCGTCGTGGCGCTGAAATCTAATTTGATAAAACACAAGTTCAAACTGAGAGGCTGCGAGCGCAGTAGAAGATGATATGATGCAGCTAATTTGCTTAAAGGTGATCAGTGTGTAGTGTGTGTGCGCGCGCGTGTTTCTGTGGGTGTTATTTTCTTTTTATACCTGTTCTAGTAAGGAAATGTTACCAAAGCTGTGCATGTTTTCCTGTCGTTTCCATGATTTTTTTTTTATTTTATTATTTGCATTTAGCATCGTTTTTCCCTGTTCTCTGTGACCCTCTGTGAAGAATAATTTGAACATTTTGTATGTTGGCACAAAAGAAAATATATAAGAAGCAAACAGAGACAGAATTAAACTAATTTTTGATGTTCTTCAATTTAATTTGATGAGCATGTTTATTAAATAGAGCACTACATTTAAGCAATTATGTAATTTTGTTTATTGAATGCCCTAGTTACTGCCATGAAACATCTTAAGCAGAGGTTCAGGGAAAATTGGAAATGCAGCCAGTGAATACAAAGAGACATGCTGACCGCTTCGTACCTCACAGCTAATTGCTTTGGGGAGCAGATAAATATTGCCAGTTCAGAGAAGCCTATCTTGAAAAGTATTGAAAAGTACATCAAGGCTGAAGTAACTTCTACCTTGATACAAACATCAACTGAACAGATGCAAAACACCTTAAGGAACAGGCTGCTGGCAAAGCATCTAGGAATGTTGTTATTGATCAGTGGCTACAGCTTCAGCGGCCTGTACAATTCATTATAAAGGTGGTGTCTCTAAATCCTTAATCATACTCAACTCAAAAGGCCCAGATGTGTAGAAGTACGGTATTTTCTGCATGTTTGCCAACTTAACACCCAAGTACCGTTTTAATTTCAGTCAATGGACATGAGATCAATAAACAAACAATTCATATGCCCTTATTGCTAATTAGCTATTTTACCTTGAAGTCTCTCATCTTACACAAATTGAACTTGATACTCATGCACTGAGCAGATAGGCAGAATATCTGGCTCATAAAACAATGCGAGTATCAGTTCATATTTTATGAATAGTTTATAATTATTATTTTTTTAATGTAATCCATTTGCAGTCCAGGCAGTGGTTTAGTGCAGTGTTCATGTTTGCTACTTAAACTAACCTGAGGGAACTGTCAACATCGCTACTAAACGATTCAAATCAAGCAAACCTTAAAAAGCCCTGCTGTTGGTCAGAAATCTAATTGTAATGTGCAATACAGTGAAATTATTACATTTAATGCTATATTGCTTGCACTTAGGTCTCTTTAATCTGGGAAGTATCTAAAATTCATGATCCAGATATGTGGAATAAGATAATGTTTGGGTGGAAAGCGCTAAGCTCTTTTTGATTTAAATGTCATGTGTAATCATACAAAACACATAGCATTGGGGAGATGTAACCTGTAACCTTCTTAATCTGACAATGCCCTTAATATCTCTAACTACCATCCATTGGCAATAATAGACAGAAAGCACATTTGTAAATTTAAATGCACTTAATGTACTTGCACTATATTTTTTTCCCTACTTATTTGTGTTATTTGTTTCTTTTATATATATAAAAAATTATATTTTTTTCTGTTGTTCCTCTTCAATGTGTGTGGGAAGGCAAAACATTTAATGAAGAAAGAGATCATAGCTAGATTGCTAGATAGATATGATTAATTATTAATTAAGTTTGTTCAATGATTGTGCATTTGATGGGATAATATCCTTAAAATATACTATACAGGGGAGACCGGGGCTAGTTGTCACAGGGAGACTTAAGTGTTTCTTAAAATGTATTAATTTTAAATATTTGAATAATAATAATAATTCTTAATAATAATAATAATAATAATTATTATTATTATTATTGTATTATTATTATTATTATTATTATTATTATAGTCTGACTATGAACTGAATCAGTCTGTTTAAAATAACAATTTGTGCACATTTTAGTGGCACAAAAATCTAAAGAGAAAAAAGTTTTGTGGTTTCCTATTTCATCACTGTAAAAAAAAAGAAAAGGAAAAAAAAAAGAAAAGTGTAATTTTTGAGAGTTGTAAATAAGACAAATTTTTTTCTTTTTTCTTTAATCAAAAAGTTTTTTAAACACAATTTGTAACATAATATTTAAAATAAGATGACTCCCCCACCTTAATTTTTTTTCTCTTGACCATAGACAGCACAGAATCTCATCTCAGTGCTTTTGATGAATGGCTATGCAGTTTTTAACTCTGCCATTTCATCAGAAATGTCCAAATTTGTGAAATTTTGTCGTACAAAACAATTTTGTGGTAAACTGATCTGATTTTGTATGGAAAAGTGATCTATGACGTGTTGTTTTTTGTGTCTATTTGTTAATGGGGGATTTGTGGTCTCACGTTTTTAGATTTTTGGAGTAAAAATTATAGTTTTCATTTTGAAATAAAAAGATGGGCCCCTTTGAATTGGCACAGAAGGCCAGTTATTATTATTTACAAATGTAATACTTATTGTAGTTAATGGGGTTATTATTCAGTATTTCCATTAATTAGATGCACATTTCAGCTTTTCATTAAAACCTACAGGTTAATTGAGTGAAATCACTGAATTTGCATTCATATTGTTGCTATGACATATCTTCAATTACAATATGAGCAATTAAATATGTAAATATTCATAAGACTGTATATAAGTCACAAAATTAATTTACCTTGTAGATTAATCTCTTTTACTGGGTTTTTGCTTTGTCTGTCATCATTTAATAAATGATAGTATAATTTAGTAAATATACATATATAGTATAATTTTTAATTCACTTATAAATTATATATCAATTATATATCAATATACTTATTTGTGTTATTTGTTTCTTTTATATATATAAAAAATTATATTTTTTTCTGTTGTTCCTCTTCAATGTGTGTGGGAAGGCAAAACATTTAATGAAGAAAGAGATCATAGCTAGATTGCTAGATAGATATGATTAATTATTAATTAAGTTTGTTCAATGATTGTGCATTTGATGGGATAATATCCTTAAAATATACTATACAGGGGAGACCGGGGCTAGTTGTCACAGGGAGACTTAAGTGTTTCTTAAAATGTATTAATTTTAAATATTTGAATAATAATAATAATTCTTAATAATAATAATAATAATAATTATTATTATTATTATTGTATTATTATTATTATTATTATTATTATTATTCATTGGCCAAAACATATTTTTCCATGTAACATTTTTATAATTTTTCCACTGAATTTTGTGTTTCATACTGAGCTGAACAGTGTAGAATAGTCTCTTTAATGGAAGGTTATATTATGACAACCTAAACCACATGCAACGCTTTTTACACAAAATGTCAACGTGTTTAATTAACTTTATCTTTTTCCCGGGCAGTAACGGTGAAAATGTTAAGTAGCCTAGCTTTTTATTTATTTATTTTTATTTTTTTTGTAGCTACAACTAAACGCTATAAACAAATCTACCCTTAAACATATTTACTTTGGTAAAAGTGTGACAACTTGCCCCGGTCTCGTCTATTTCTAAAACACTTAAATGCGCTTTTATTCACTTATTCGCTTACATGACGCGTCGTTTCCAAGGGTCTCCGCACTCCATTCCGGTGAAGAGGCTGGACTCCGTTCCGGGTTTTGCTCCCTCACTGCTCTATACATCACGTCTCCTCACTCCTGCATTGCTGTAGCAGTAGCAGCAGATGTTCGCACGCTGAAGCCAATATCCACCGTTCTCTTTACCGGAGCAAGTGTTCTGCAGCGGACAGCGAGAAGACGAAGAAGAGTGAGGACGTTTGCTCTCTCTCTTCACACGTCTGGAGTGTGTGTATGTGGGTGAGTGAGCTGAAGAAATTAGAGTCGCGTCTTTATTTACCACACCTGTGATGCGCTGCTGTCTCTGAGCAACGAAGACGCACTGATGGCCAAGGTACAGGAAGAGGATATGTGTTGAAAGAGGACTTATAAATGCGCTGATCGGTGTAATATTACAAAAACTAAACCTAGACAGACAGCAGATACTCCTCGCTGCTCATTCAACAGATATTACTGACTTAAACGTGAACGGGAAGGTGATAAAGATGCCGTTACACCTGGGTCCCTTTGTCCGCTGGAGATCCGGGCTTGTACTCGCATGGATCTGCTTGTTTTCGTCCGGATTTACCTTCACTGGTGAGTTTCATTCATTTTGAAACGCATCTTCCAGTTTCGACTGATAAAGCCATGTGTAAGTCATGCGTAATTGCTTTTACACACAGCAGCTGGCTCCCTTTGTGATGTGATTTCCCGAATAATAACAAAATATTATATTTAACGGGGTTCATTTGTATGCGAAATAAGCAGTTTGCTCCAAATTGTCATATTATTGTTACTTTGAATAACCAAAACGCGCAGAAACAGAGGTGAAGAACCTATTCAGGAACTTGAACGTGCAGTAAGTTTGATTGACATGTTTCTGCGAGCACGAGACTCTAGCGACGAGCCTGAGACACTACGGCGAAACGAATAGAAATATACGAAACCAAGGGTTTGTTTAATTGAAAATGACTAGAAATGTATACCATGGGGGTTAAACAAATAAATGTTGTTGAATATTGCGTCCTGTATTCCGCGTTGCATTTCGGTGAGCGTCAGCTTGAATGACACGCGCAGATTTCCACGCGCCGACATTCATCCGTTCTTGCTGCATTGGCAGTGTTTGTGAAAGCTTTAAGAAGAACAGTGAGCTCCGACGGTAATTGAACGGTGCAGGGTACATTTGTTGTGTGCAGATATATACGATGAGGTAAACATGCTTTCGTGGTCAGCTAAGTGGAAAAGAACGTGCCCAAATAATCGTGCTCTCCTCCCATCACACATCGTGCACTTGTCTTGGTTAATGGTTAGCTACCCATTATAGCCTTACAAGGAAAGAATTGAAGATTCACTTTATGTGTAAAGCTTCAATGATTAATAAACATTTTAAATTGATATTTTCATTATGAATACTTTTTCTTTTTAATTGTATTTATTTGCAATGCCAGAATATGACACATTGTCAGTACTGGTTGCTCAAATAATGACTCCTTGTTATTACTCCCACAACCAAAATTAAAACGGCATCATTTCAAAAATGCCAAGCTTATGTGTTTTTACATAAGAATCAGTGTGGATATGCATATTAAGGTTCATTCTTGGCATAATTTTAGTGGGAGACATTTCATATTGTGTTGCAAACCTTTGTTTACTGTGCTGTAGTTGTTGTTTTTCCATGCTTCATACTGTAAAAGGAATGAAATAAAGACTGTTTCATATTATGACATCATAATAACATCAACTAACACTAACCAGTTGTCCATGTCTGGACATAATTACAGTTACAGAATCACAGTCACCTAGTCCAGTGTGTGTAGCCCAGAGAGATTTAGCTTCTTTTTTTTTCCTTTGCTAAACCTGTAAACCAGACATTCAAGGCTATAGATTAAATAAATGCATTTGATTGGCTCTTACGCACTGTAATTTAAATAACAACCATTTTAATAATATTAGTAATAATTAGGCCTATGAATTATATCCAGCATAATATCAGCTAAAAATAACTTATTCTATGCTGCATTTGGTATGGATGAAAGGGTGTTTAAACGCTATTTGGGCTGTGGAGGTCCATAAAACAAAAAAAGGTTGGGAAACACTGACCTAGTCCACCCACAATGTGTTTGTGTGGACCAGTTTGGGCTTGCCGAGATCTGTATTACATTGTGTCAAGAGAGTAAGAGGAGTAAGGAAGGTCTTGGCTGTGGGAAACTTGACTGTGGGAAAGTTTCTGGAGGTTTTATAGTAATCATCACCATAGAGCCCAGCTGGGGACCGCTGATGAGTATCCTGAGAGCACCGACAAAATTTCACACTTGGCTTACATTGTTCTGCCCCCTCTCTGCTGTGGACAGAGGGCTAACTTGTTAAAAGTTGTGCAATTATCAGTCTTGCTTTAGGAAACTCTGCATGAAAGCTAAATTAAGAGGGTATTTTCTTGTGCATTAATTAGTGCAGGATTTCGCATAAATCAGGCAAACAGCCATACCCAAAGGAATCATATAAGAAATACAGTGGCATTTCTGAGATTTTTCAAACATCCATTCAAATGGAGCATTTTTTTTTTAAAGTAGATTGCAGGGTATCATGAAAAATGCCCTAAATTCCCACCATCGTTGCATGCTCTGTTTAATTTGTCAAGGACACTTATCTTGCATCGCATCCAAATGAAAAAAGATCAGACAGGAATTTTCTTATTCTCCCCACTTGTAAGAGGAGGAAATGTAAATTGGATGGAGGGGACATAATGGAAGCATGTGTGCTCGCAGACATTGTTAGTCCAAAAGATCATAAAAAATCACACAAGGTGCTCTCGCCAGGCAGAAACGGGCTGACGGTGCACTTTCCTATATATATATATAAAAAAAAAGCCAACTTGTCTTTCCCCTGAAACATAATCTGGTCAAAAATAAAGGTCGCTCTGTCAGTCTTCATCAGAGAGAACACAAGAGACAGAACAGAGCTCTTCCTCGAACAATGTGGTGCCTTCAGGGAGATCAGCTACCGTTGAGCCGACAGGAGGGTTTTTATCAGTCTGTAGACAAAAGAAATCAGAACATTGTGTTTGTGATGTGTGTGTGTGAGTGAGTGTGTGTGTTTCATACTATAGCCTGTGTTAGTGGCTCTTGTTTTGCTTCAGAATTTTATACTGATCCAGTACAGTACTAAAATTATTTATTGTAGGAAAGTAAATCCTTAAATGTATACTTTTGAAATTACAATGAACTGCGTACAAACATTGATCAGACGCACAGCCTGTGACGTCAATAAAAAGGATATGGGAATGCTATTTTCCATTTTTAATGTTAATAAGCCTAAATATTTTGCTGTCCTAACCAAACAAGATTATATGGTTTATTGCATTTTCTAAATGGCATTGAGCATTTTTTTACACCTTTTGTCTGTGATCTTATTAGAACAGATCTGCAATCCTCCAACCTTAGTATTTTAGTTTTTGTATTTAGTATGTTAAAGGTAAAAAAACAAACAAACAAACAAAAAAAAACACAGACACGCACGTCAAACATGGCAAATCATATTTCCAGGAATGTGTTTATGATACATACCTACTCAACTTCAGCTTCATCAAATTCAGTGTACACTCTTAAAGTACAGGAATCAGTCATGCAATCAACACAACCCTGCAGTAAAGTATGGTTTCTTGTTTGTTCCCATCTCTTTGGAAAGGAGTGATATAATGGGTTTGCTGTTTTCGCTGTGTGTGTGAGAGAAAGAGGCAGGGGATTTTTGTGGTTGGAGTTTGTGGTGGGCTTGTTTCAGAGATTTTTGGCACTGCTGTGAGTGTGCTTGGTTGTTCACTGAAAGGGATGGGTTTTGGTGTGCAGTGAAACTCAAAAGCTTTCTTATGTGGTTAAGAAGCTTCTCAAAGGCCCCTCAGACCCCAGAGACATGATTTTACAGTCGTCATTCGGATTATTGAAATTAGGATGAAGCTAGCGTTTTGGTGTTCTCAACTTTTTTTGTTGAGGCGAAATTATTTTAATTGAATTTTTAAAGTTTAACATTAATTAGGCCTTTCACTAAACCATACCAGATTTTCACTGTATACAGTGTCAAAAAAAAAAGAGAAATGAGGAAAAAGATTTTTGCCCTTCTACTTGTAAGCTACGTATAAACTCAAATGGTGCATGTAAAGAGAGAACTCTGCTGTCATGTTGGGCTTTTGATGCTAACCAATGACTTTTCAGGATGTACAGTACAAGAACCGAAAGAATCAAGCAATGAAGAATTTCAGAGAAGAATGGAAGATTTGAACAGATTAATGTCTGAGAGCAGAGTTGTTCGGAGTCGCGGCAAGTGCTCAGAAGCGGAACATGATTAAATCCATTTTTGTTGTTTCGTTTCACTCGACTCCGGCCACATTGCAATTTCACAACAATTTTAACATGTTTTTTTTTTTAAATAGACGGTATATTTCTCCCACTCTCACAGTTTCCACACATATATATGTATAGCCGTATTTGAGTTTGATGAATGGAGAGGCGTGAAATGGTGTAACAGAGATGAGGAAAAGGCAAACAGTGTAAGTCAACAGCAGCTGGTTTTCCATAATCCAAGAGCATGCTCCATTTGATGACAAATGTGGTCTTTTCTTATCTCACACTGCTATATATGTCTTCTCCATAAGTGTCAAATGCAAATGGAGAAGGAGAGGCGAGGCAGAGAACATGAGAAAGTGTGACACGAACCTTTGGGGTGGGGGAAATCTCCTATAAAACCGCATTATATCTCAGAAATGTGCCCTTTTGCTTCAGTTAAGCTCATGTAGATTAATGATTATGGGGTGGACTCTGGGCTTTAGGTGGGTCATTAGCCTTTTGAAATGGCTGTTGTGCCATCCAAGGGGTCAAGGTTTGGCTGGTTAGCATGGTTAATAAATACGTTTTTTTTTTTTTTTGCACACAGTATTGCTAATATAATACTACAGTAGATGTCTTACAGGACTCAATTTCAGTATTGGAGGGTTTTAAAAATGTGTTGTTATAAAAAAAATAATGTGACTTATTTTTTGTCCCTGTCTCTTCTCTTTCTCAATTATAGTTCAGGTTAGTCTCTAGAAGGTATTGTAGACCATAGATATCGATACCTAGATATGATAGACTGAATCTTATGAATATTGACAATATAGACTTGCTCAATGGACCAATATGGTGGATGGCTTAAGTATATTGCATACAGGAACAGTTGCTAATGAGGAATTCTATGATGTAGTACAATCTTTGTTGTAGGCCCCTTTGGTTCTGTCCTGGTCTTCAGCACCTGCTCCCTCCTGCAAGCAGCATGGTGACGCCCTTCAGAAAGGATGCGGTCAGCAGGAGGAACCAAAGATCAGCGCTGTCACCAGAGAGACTAATCGTGTTCTTCCCCGAGGTGCTGTCAGTGGCCAGAGAAAGCTGGAGGACTGTTGACCTTGAGAGCAGATGCATTTAATGTGCAGACACTGCTTCTCGGCACATTGTGAGCACTAGAGTCTATGAAAGCCTTGGGTGAATGCCCCTCCCCAAAGAGATAAGAGTACATTTCCCAAGGTGCTTTTGGCTTGACTCGCAGTCTGCGAGATCTAAGTAAGATCTGTCCGC